TACACATACTACATTCATACCATTATGAACACCTATATTTTTGCTTTGTATGGATTTTCCCTCGATTTTTCATCTTTATAATATTTAGATTAGACGCAATACTATGCAAGACACTTGGCGCGCGCGAAAAGTTACAAAAAACGACAGATAATTGGAAAAAAATAAAACAACTATAGATTAAAAACCGAAAATACTAGTGTTAAAAGTGTTTTGCTGCAGGACGCTTAAAAAGTAACGCCAATTTACATAAAAATATATATATATATATACGAATATATATATAGATTTATCCATAAGTATCGTATATGTAGAGGTACAATATATATAAAAAAATTTCTCATGCTTCTCTTTTGAAAGTTTTGGGAAGGGTTGATCGTTCCCTTTTAAATTTCTAACCATACATGCTACAATATATTCTCGCTTCTCAAAATTGCTTTATCGGGGGACGCGACTCTACACAAATTAAAAACACGCATTAATTTAAGACGAAAATTAATTAATTAGTTTAACGTTAAACTAGACCTAACCGTAAACGTAATAATAATTAAACATTGAATCAACAAATGTGTGTTTGTGTGTGTGGTGTGTATTGTGTGATAGTTGTTTTGTTGGTGGTTGGTGGTTGGTGGTGGTGGTGGTGGTAGTGGTAGTAGTGATGATGCATTCTCCATATCAAATATGGAATTCTGTATCCTTTCTCCGTTCGCTCCGGTTGCCTCGGGGATTCCCTTCGCTCGCCTCGTTATTTACATTTCATAAATGATAAGTATTCCGTGTCATATGTTGAGGTTTCCCCAATATTCTACACCTTCCGCTTGGCGTGTAGCATCTCCATGAGCAGCGTTGGGTTGGTGCACTGCCGGCACAATGCTTGGAGTATAGATGCTCCTCACCGCGTGCGGCCATGGCATGGATTTCCGGTAAGATGTTCACTAGCCTACTGAATTTGTCCTGCAGATTATCGAAAAAAAAGCGAGTTAATTATGTATTTAATATATATATTAACATTTTACTTACATTAACTGACGGATAACAGGTGAGGGTGTAGTCCAGCAAAGCGGCTTGCACATTATCATGTCCTCGGAAACAGTCTTCCGGTTGACAATACCCCGCACATCTGAAACACCAAAAAACGGAAGAACATAAGAAGGTTGACAATCTGCTAGGGAGGGTCTTATACGGCCTTACTTGGATTCAAGAGGATTAGGAATTTCATGCAGACATAGTCGCCCATATCGAATTTCAAATCTTGCAGCTTATTCTGCAGCTCGTTGAAATAATCGCCCAATTGTGGTACACCAACAAGCCCAGACTGAGCAGATTGAAGACCTGACCATTATTCAGCTGCGTCTCATCGGGCAGGCCATTGTGAATGCGATGATGCAGGTGATCCAGGACCAACATGTCTGACCACGAATGCTGCAGTAGCTTCATTTGATCATCGACCTGGTATCAAAAAATTAAATGATAATATTTCATTAATAATTGAAGAAATATATAAGTTAATGGTGTTATAAGAAAAAGACTGAACAGTTGCCACTAGAAACTTGATCATTCTTTTGTAGATTCATTACATTTAGTTTATTTTAGAAGATTATAATCTCGTTTCTTATCAGAATATCAATACTCTACCAATATTTTGTAACAAAATCTATAAAATTTCAATAAAATAAAGAATGTTGACCAGTTTTCAGGTGGCAACCGCTTTTGCATTGGATTTAATAGATACGTTTTTTTTGTATGATGATATTGTGGTATGAAGATATATGGTTAAGGCCTAGCTTTTTGGATGCTCTGGTATTACGACACGCCCTCTCTTTTTGTCGCTCCTGGTAGCGCTCAGTTTCTCTCAGTTTCTCTCCCCCACTGTCTCAGTTGCTCTGCCGCTCTTTGGTGCTGTTTGCTGGTATGGGTGAGCACATCACATCAGTTGCGTCACTGAGCGAGAGACGCGGTCGCTGGGCTGGCTGACTGAATGACTGACTGACTGGTTCGGCTTTGCTGGCTAAGTAGGTCAGACGCCAAATGAAATCGAAATTCAATGCAGAGATTCTCTGCCAGCGTCGCTGTCGAAGTCGTCGTCGCTGGTTTTTTTTTACATAACATGCCGCAGACTTGGCCCCTATAGCTTCAAAAAAAAAAAAAACTAAACTGGTTTCTGGCTTTGAACCATGTATTTGCGGCCGCTGTCTGCTGGTATCTGTGTTGTCTGCTGCTGTTTCTGATCAACTGATTTACTCTGATTTGTGGTTGAAAACGGGTACGGGTACAGGGAAGGACATTAGTGAATACCTTGAGGTCCTTGAAGAAGACCGTATTCCGTGCCCAGTCCACTTGCGAGAACAAGTTCTGGTCGAGCACTTTGCACATTAGCTCGAAGAGATCCACTTCCACCTGGTTGTAGGTCTGCTTTTGCAGCAAAGCAAACAATTGCGTCTGCCATTCCCGATCGTCGATTGATTGCACAAATTCACGAATCATTGGTGAGACTCTGCGGGAATTTAATTTAAAAGAATTAATGTTAATTTGGGTACATAAATTGATTTGCTGAAACTCACCTTAATGGCTCAATAAGCGCATCGGCTGTGCTCGATGGATGTGTGCCGGAATCAAAGCTTTAGTTTGTTTTAGAGAGAGAAGAATATAAAAGAATTGGGGTTTATAAATGTTTAAATATCTTCAAGATGAAGGAGCGCTCATCAAGTGACATTTGCAGCAAATTAAAGAAAGGCAAAGGACTAACATTATTCAAAGACTAAATTTATGTAAAGAATTGATAAGTTTAAAAGTATTTCCTAAACAAAAACATATTCAAATCCCTTATATCACATTAGAGTCTTTTTAAATCGAAAAAATCAAGGATTTATCCAAGGAATATCTTTAAAATTATCTATCAACTATAAAATCAACTCTAAACAATATAACTGCCTTTCTCATTTCCATTATTTGCTGCACATAATCATTTTGAATCATTTTCCATAGAATTTCATATAATATATAACGAGAATTTGTAGTTTTCAAAAGTTTAAATATAACTTTAGGTTTCAGTTCTCGGTTGACATTTCTTTTCTTGGCTAAATACCACAATTTCGAGTCGGCCGTATTCTGCAGAGATCCAATTCCAGCCTCGTGGCCACCATTACGATGCAGGCCATCTCCGGAGTTATTGCCGCCACCGCCGCCTCCTCCCCCGCCGCCTGCATTGTTGCCGCCGCCGCCACCTCCTCCTCCTCCACCACCGGCGGACGCTCCATTGCCCGTGCTGCTGCCATTGTTATTGCCGCCACCGGTACTGCTGCTGCTGCCGTTGCTGCTATTGCCATTGCCCACGGAATTGGGACCATTGAGACCCCCACCATTGCCACTGTTGCCACTGCCACCGTTGCCGGCATTCATGGGCGTGGTTATCACACCGCCCGTGCTGGCATTCACCTGTCCCAGCGCAATGGCAATGGGACTGGGCGATGAGTCCGGCGATTGGGTGAGTGAGGATACCTGTTTAAGGAAAGGTTAGATTATAAATTTAATATCAATTTGATGGTTTAATTCTTACTCACCTGAGGTATTTGAATTTCCTGCTTAATGTTCATATTTGGATATGCTTGCTGGTAGCCCGGCGAGATCGGCGTTGGCTTTATATCCGGACCCATTGAGTTGCGAAGCGCTTGGAGTGCCAACTGTCGTTGCCTCATCACTTGCAGCTTCCGCGCCCGATCTCGTTTGTACATCGGTCCAAATTTGTTCCTGCCACCCCGCATTCGATCCGCTCGAACAGCTGTAAAGGAAAATATAGGGAATTTTGGATTAGTTTTAATATTTAATAGTATTTATTTACACGCTAGATGGTTGGGTTATAACTATCAGTTTATAATTCGTATTTATAGAACAAAAAAGAGAGTAAAAGTCACCTTATAACAAAAATAAAACACTTTGCAAGGCATAGAATATATATCTACCAGTATTAATGTCAGTATCCTTAGAATTATTAAATATGACTCTTTTTAATATCCAAAATTTATAATGCTTTTATTATTAAGTATTCTTTGAACTAGCAAAGACATGTAATTATTTTAGAATTTATTTTAAATCGCCCTTCTTTTAAGTGATCCAAAATACACCCTCTCTCTTTCTCCATGTGGAAAATCCTATTCCTTTTTATATATGTATGTATATATTTACCATATTTCTCATTAAAAAAGCCAACTCATAATGTCGCTTAACAAAAACAAAGCACTGGCAAAGGCGCACAAACAAGCTCACGCACATGGAAATTGTAGTTACATATGTACGTATATTGCGCATACGCCACATTGTACCGCGGCATCAAAACAAAAACTATACAACACTCATACATATGTATGTATGTGTGTAAGGCCGTGCGATTGTGCGTTTGTATGTTTATACATATGTGGGAACACGCTAAATGAAACGCAATAAAATGCGCTTCTTATGGCGCAGCACGGAAAAAGAGCGTAAAGGGTGCACGGAAAGAAAAATAGTTCAAAAGGTATGCAATAAATACTAAAAGATTTAAAATAGAATATTCAAAAACTTGGTTAAATATAAAAAATATATGTAACAATAAGTAAATATTTAATTGAATTAAATTTAGGCAAACTACATTACTATATCAGGGGTTTTTAGGTGCTTTAAGTTTATCAAGTCGAAATTTGTATACTCTTGCAGTTTAAATATTCAAAAATACATACTCTTTTTAATTTTTGACAATTTATATTTCAATAAAAAGTATTTTATGAGTTATTAATATTGATAAATCTAATAAAAATGGGTATATAAAGGTATGATTAATAGAAAATACATTTAATAAAAAAGGAAATTATGCTATTATTTATGCTATTTATTTATATATTAAATTGTTAATTTAGGTGGTTTTTTAAGAGAGAAAAAGCTATAAACTTTTTAAAATTTAACGAAAAACTATGTATTCAACTATAGCATTTTGAAATTAGTATTTTGAACTAAAAATGGTATGTATTCATAAATACTTGACTTCTAAAATATATCTTTTAAAAACTCAATTTCACAATTATTTGTTTCAAAAACATATTATGCTTATTTTATCAAGCCAAAAGGTAATAAATTAATATAAATCAATGTTTTATTGTGCAATTTTTGCTCTGTAAGAGTGAGAACTGCGAGGGTGGCTTGAGTCCAAAAACAGATTGCAATTGCAGCTAGCGCCGTGTACATTTACAAGATGCAATTCTCGGGGGTTGTTTTCGCGCAATAAAAAACAAAAAGGAAAAAGAAAAGATACAAAAAATGCAAAAAGGAGAAACGCAAGGGCGACAATGGGTGGCGGCAGGTGGTGGCCACCATAAAATATGCATTTCAAATCCAAAAGGCAAAACGGAGAAAAATTAAGACACAAACAGATGCAAACACACTCTCGCACACACACACACCGCAGCTTTTTGATATATGCAATTTTAGTGCGCTGAACAAGTAACTGTAATTTAGGTCAAGCGTATTGTTTACAAATAATCAACATACATACATACACACATACAAACACATGCAGGTGGTGGTAGCCAAGTGTTGGGGCTTTAGCTCTCTCAAACGCCAACCGCTACGCTCTCTCTCTACTCTCACGCCGCTTTCGCTCTCGGTGGCCCCACCACTCTCTCTCTCTCTCTCGCTCTCCTTCGATTATGGTTATTTTGGCTTGGCAACGCGAAAGAGCTTTCTATTACGACATTTCGAGCGAGAGGGAGAGGGAGAGCGAGCCCCATTAGACAGAGAGGCTTTCCGCATTAGACAACTTTGTTGAGTGGAGTAGGTCAAGGACAGTGTGTGTGAAAACTGGGACAACATGGCCATTGTTGTTGCCTGCCAACTCTCCCAAAATGAAGAAAAACTCACTCGCTCTCTCTCTCTCTCTCTCTCCACACTCTCACTCGCTTCGCATGCTCCACTCTCTCTTGGGAAAGTTGTTTGTATTTGTGGGCGCCGTTTTTATTTCTTTTCTTTTACGACTTTTTCCGGCTTGGTATCAAGACTATTTATGTTGGGCAAGGTAAAATTCAATAAATACAACAAATACTATCGATTTCAGGTTTTTAGAATTGATATAATAATTTTTTTCTGAATTAGCTTTGATCATTTTTTTACCATTATAATTCTTATATTTCTTATTGTTTATTTAAAACTTTGTTAATAATATTTAAAATACAAACCTACTAATTTCTTAAAACTATTTGTAAAGCCAGATAAATTAAAATCCATATTTAAAATTTCGGATTATGTATTAATAGGTTTATGTAGAGTATTTAAAGTATTTATGGTATTTTAAGAATTTAAAGTATTTGGAAAATTTCAAGTATTTTAAATATTTGAAGTATTTAACATATTTTAAACACTTTAAAAGTTGGGTTTATTTTAGTTTTTTAAAACTTTTTAAATGTAGATTAATATTTTCTTTGAGTGTACTTGACTTACATAATTTCCTAGCGACATTTTTTCACTTTCAACCTGGGTTTTATTTAGATTTTCACCTTTTTTCGACTATGTTTTTTGTGTGTGGGGGGGTTAAAGTGGTTCAATTTGTGAACGTCACATACAAAAATGTTTTGTTGAAAGTTATTCTCAACCGACAGCTCTTCCTTTTCGACCTTTCCCTCTCTTTTCCCAAATTTTCCCCCTTTTTTTTTTGATTTTCTCACAAAGTCAGCCGGGAAATCAATAAATACGGCCTGTCAGTTTGCTTTTTTTATCGTAGGCGTCTTTTTTTCCGAGGTTCAAGCCATTTAAAACTGTTTGTGTTTGTATTTTTGTGTTTTAAGTCGTTTACAATTTGTTTGCCGCTAATTTGGGTCACTGGTGCGTATGAGTGATTTTTTGGGCAAAGTTTTAAGCTTAGTTTCCGTAGCGGATGTTGTCATCGAGTTTCATTTAATTTAACGATTTAAATGGCCAACGATTCTTTAACTAGTTTGTATGAGAACATGCCTTGCACAATATCTTGTCACTTAAAATAGAGTATTGATTTTGAAAAATCAATTTCGCATAATATTACGTATACGAGGCGTGGGTTTTTATGGGAAACCCGATTAAAATCTCTATATTTTAAATAATTTTGTAACAATTGGTGCAGTTGTTAATTATTTAATTGATTAAGGAAATAATGTTTTGTAAATATTCTTCATAGGATTCCATAGACATTACGTATACGCAGTGTGTACCTAAAAAAGGGGTTTGAGCACTTTGGAATTCAATTATATTGGATGCGAAATCTATAATAATTAAGCTTCAAATATTCTCATTTTTATCGAAATTTATAGATATTTTTATATGACAATTTTATCGACAAATCAAAGCTTAAAAAACTCAAAACTAAGCCAAAAATCCATTAATTTCGATTCGGAAAGCACACCTGTGCTAGTTTTTATAAGATTAATAAATATGCATACTCAATTAAAATTGAAAAAAAAATTAAATTTTTATGTTATTTTTTGACATTTTATGGCTTAGAAAATTTGGAAAAAAGTAGTAAAAATATTTTTCCTTCTGAGATGGCTAGATCGATTCGGCTGTTGATGCTGATCAATAATATATATGATTTATAGGGTCGGAAATGACTCCTTCACATAGTTTTAAGCTTCTGACTATAATTATAACACCCTGAAAACGGTATAATACCGTTAACCTTAACTAAAGATTGAGAAACAGTGGCTCCCTTAAAAAAGTGAAAAAAGAAACATCGCTAATCCCCAACAATCTCAATTTGTTACCTGTTTGTTAAATTAACCCAAACGCGATTGCCAAATAAATTGAGGATACAAAAAGGGCTCAAATCCCTCAAATCCCCAACAGCAAGACTTTCGGCTTAGCTTTTATGGTAAAAAAAAAGGAAAAAAGAGACAAAACAAAAAAAACTAAAGTCACAAAATCCAAAAGCGGCTAAAAATTGCCGCAATTATAAAGCCTGACTGAACGGGAAAGAGAGAGAGATATAAAAAGTTGGATGTGTGTGTGCAACGGTGGGAGGGAAAGGGGAGCTACACTGACGAAAGAGATTTCAACAGAGCCAACAACAACAACAACGAAAGGACGGAACGAGACGGAACGGAACGGAACGAACAGCAAGAAACGAGAAAATGTTCGTAATAATTCAGTGAGTATTAAAAATAAAATACACGCACACACTCACGCTACATGTTGCATTGATTACACACACTCAGTCCACCGAGAGAGAGAGAGACACACAAACAATTTGCCATATCACGTGCACTCACACCAACACACTATTGGAATCTAGGTCATGAGCGCAAGAGATGGCACTATGGGCCAAGTACACAAAAGCGGAACTGAGATGGCAATACATTGATATATGTACGTGTACGCCTGAGTTATATTGCATACACTTTTGTTTTTGCTCTCGCTGCCGGCAACGCTGTCGGCGTCGCTGCCCCGGCTGACTCAAGAGTGTTTGCATGTGTATGTGTGTGTAAGTGAGTGGGAGAGCGGTGGGTACGCAGAGAGCGTTCCGCCAAAAAAGACAACAAATAAAACTCGAATGAAAAATGATTTTTATTCGATTTTTTCGTAAATTTTATGCATACCCAAAATAATCAAGAAAAAAAGTCAAGAGTGATTAAATATGGCTTAACAACAGGAAGTACACTAATCCAAAAGAAAATCTACGAATGGCTTTTATGGCATAGCTAAAAAGTAAATAATTGCTCTTAAATCTTTGTAACACAATCAAAAGCATTGTAAAATAATAAAAATCATTTCTAAAATATTACAAAAATTTACAAAATAATAAAACTATCTAGCTAATATTCATATTCATATTCATATAATATTAATTTTCAAGAAATTTACTCATTTCTAAAGGATGCTTAAACTAAATAATTAAATATTTATAATAGAATACTGTTTATTACTGAAAAAAAAAACATAATTATTAAACATAATTACAAATAATATATTTAAAAAATAAAAATATAGAAAATATGTTTCAGAAAAACTTCACTTTTTTAATTAAAGATTTTTAAGCAACACTAAATGATTATTTGTAATATTTACATTGCAAATAAGTGCTTTGAAAAACTATAACCATTTAGAAATAATTTAAAAAAACATCAATTGGGCACATTTAAAATTATTTATAAATAATAATTTGATATAAGAAATCAAAACAATCTTTAAAAAATTATTAATGTAAAAAGATTAATTTATTTATAATTTCCTTAACAAATATGTTGAATGAATATTTCCCATTACACAACTGTAAATTGTTTGCAATCAAAATTCCCATAAATTCACACATTTTTGTTAAAAAAAATTGACAATTTATTTATGTGTCAGAAAAAAACTCTAGCCACTAAACAAACGAAAATGTTTCTTTTGGCAATCACAATTTTCACACTTTTCACACTTTGCATAATAATTTGCAGAGTTTGTTTGAGCAAAAAAAGCATGTGGCAAGCAAGTGAGCGTTGCAAATGATAAGTAACAAACAAAAACAAACAAAAAAATACAAATACAAAATAGAGAAAAAAAATTGCGCGCGCTAGTTTGAATCCAGTTCAGAAAAGCAGTCAGTCAGGAAAAACCAAAGACGAAATAAAAAAAAAAAACCTATTACAAAATTCAAAACATTTTCAAATGAGAGCGAAAGCAAGAGTCTCTCTGCTGCTCTCAGTAGCCGCTTTTTAAGTTTGTTTGGCTCTCAGCACGACCTCTTTTTTCGAAAGCTCTCTTGCTTCTCTCGCGACCGAGGAACGCCGACAGCGAGCGTATATTGCGGGCGAGGGCGTGGAATTCTTTTGGGGCCGCCGGTGCATGCTGCACTGACTCTGAATAAGTATATGTATGTTTTATATATATATATGTATTTTGCTCTATATACACAACACAGGTTGTATATAGAAAAAACTATATACTAACTTTGTATACAAAAACAGACAGAGAAATACTAAAAAGGAGAAAAGTTGTATGCAATTTAATGTTTACTTTATCTTGGAACTATTAATAAAAAATCAACCTTGTGATTGATTTAAACTAAAAAATAAGATGGTATTTAATTAATATATTTTATTCCTCTTTCTAAGGTTTAACAATCAAACAGAAATTAATTTAATATTTAAGTTAAAGATTATTAAGACATTAACTATGTTTATCTCATATTTAAAGCTTATTTAACAATAAATATATATATATATAATTGTTATATATATATTTGTTATTGTTATATATATTTTCATATTCAATCGATTTCCCTCAGTGTAGAAATAACTGTACATGTCTGTGTACTATATACCACAGCACATGCTTGTTTTTTGTAGGGCGCCCTCTCAACTTGTGTGCCAGAAGCGAAAAAGGAAAAGTTTTTTATTATTATTTTCCCCTTTGACTTACGCAAAAAAAAAAATACAAATAAAACTATAGGGTAAAAAAATGAGGTACTATTTTTGCAAAACGAAAAATAATTATGCAAGTAATAAGGCAAATCCAAAAATAATAAGAGGAAAGAGATTACATTTCAAAAAGAAAAGAGGAAAAAAGAAGCAAGTTTCCGCAAAGCTCAAATAAATATCCGCTTAAGCCAGAGTTAAGTTTAAAGGTCAACCTAATTATTAAAAATGAGTTAATAGGAAATCTAGAATGGGTTTGTATACTTTAAGATTTGTTAAAGATATAATATTTGTAAATACGAAGAGATAAGAAGTTTATAAATATATTTATATACATTCCCGTGCAAACACTTCAATATTTTAATTATTTTAAACAATAAATAATATAATAATAAAATACATAGTATAATATTCAAGGTAATTCTAATATTTATGGATTTGAAAAATCTAAATAAATCGATTTAACGATTTAAATTCGAATAAAAATATTAAACAGGCTGAAAATCTTATATATCTTCTTTAAAAAGCATTTATAATATTAAAAGCCACAAACAACCCTTAGGCAACTGTTTAGCATCAATAAAAATACTTTAATTTATACAAAATAATGATATTTTAAAAATATATACTCAAAGAAACGCTTGCAGCAATAAAATAAACCACAAAGTTAAAAAGAAAACAAACCCCAAAAAAGAGCGAAAGGTAAATGAGAACAAGGTAAAAGAGAACAACAGCAGTTTTTGTAATAAACAAAAGCAAAAAAAAAGAAGGAAAATAAAATGTTGACGCAGTGACAACAATGACAAAAAGCTGGCGTCATTAAGACGTGACAGAGCCAAGAACAACAACGAATAAAACGAAAACCGCAGACTGACCGACCTACCCGACGATGACAAAATAAAATAAAAAAAAGGAGAAAATAACAATAATAATAACAAGCAGCTGAGGAAGCGAAATAAATAATTGGGATAGGTCTGGGATATACAGGCACGAAAATACACCTTATTAATACATTTTTAATGCCATATAACCGAAATGGGGTCACACATTTCCCCCATCAGTAATGCAAATTTACATAATCTGCGTTTAATTAATTAATCATGATTCTAAAATAACTCCCCGGTGAATTCCTTTCGGGACAGAAGGAAGGACACACATTTCAAGTTTTAAGTTTCAGAATTTCCCTAAAGAATTTCAATGTTAGTCTGTGTGTGTTTTGCTGCGCATTTATAAATAATAAGAAATATCGATTTAATTTCATTACAACAACGACTGCAGGGGCGCCCCAAAAACTGCAAACAAGGGGGGACCACCCATTTCAATCCATTCCATTTCGTATTATTTAATATACAAAGCAAATGTTGTATTTGGGAAAAATAAAAAGGGGTCATGGTTTTGAGGCTGACTGCCAATAAAAGTTGGAATTTTGTGGCTCTTGTCTTTTGCCAAATTTTTGGGGGAAAAGAAACTCAGGAAAACAGGAAAAGCCTTTAAAAATCCTTAGAAAAGCCTTAAAGAAACTATGAAGTTTGATTGGAAGTACAAGGAAATTATTATAAAATAAACAAGATATTTCCAACAGTATGTTTCACATTTAAATATGCAATTTCGTTGAAAACTCAATAAATATTACGTATACGCAAGGTAACTTATAAATTCGTTTAATATATATATGTATTATAATTATTATTATTATGAACTATAAACCTACCTACCAAACAAGACAATTTCAATTAAACATTTAAAACTCAAAGGAAACTTCCTTAATAAAATCTATAAATAAATATCACGTATACGTAAAGTTTCTTTTAAATTTGTAAAATAAAAATATCCTTTATTATTATTATTATAAAAACAAGACTTTAACAAAAATACCTTTGTTAGTTTTTAAATAATTCCATTATAATATTTAATAGAACCCAATAAAATATTACGTATACGCAAGGTAAGTTATAAATTGTTAAAACCAAAAGATCGTTTATTATTATTGTTAATTGTAAAAGACTCCTCCCAACAAGGGATTTAACATTTAAAGAAAATTTATTTAATAACAAAAGAAATATTAAGTATACGTTATAAACAAATAAATGTTGAAAAATACAAATCATTATATATAAGTAGATCTCTGTATTTGTAAAAATGATATCCTACCTGGCGTATACTTAATATTTTGTATAGTTTTTAAGAGGTCCTTCTGTTTACCTTGCGTATACTTAATATTTCTTTAATTTTAAAAGTTTACTTGTATACTTAATATTTCCTTTGTTTTAAAAGACTTCTATTTAAATTTCCTCAACAGACTGGTTCTTGTATTACTAAACAAACCTGACTAATTGCAAGATCTTAAATAACACAAGAAATTACAAGGCAACAACTTTAATTTCCTTTCGAAATTCGATTCTTTTGAATTCTATTCATTAGTCTTACATTACTCATTTCGTAAAACATGCATCTCTTGTTTCAAAACTATTAAAATAATAGCTCCTTGATTCACTTGATTGTTTTGCATTTTAAAATCAAACCCAGTTCGTGATTAAGAAATCAAATGCGTGGCTAAATAACTGAAATAAATATCTGATTTCCAGAAGTTTCCAATGGTAAACTATGTTTTTGATTACTACCCCAAGGTTAACGGATGGACATCACTCATACGCAATGTTGTAAATAACTTTTGATTGAGGGTCACTTGAAAATACGTGACAATAGCTAAGGAGATGACTTTAAGGTACTTTCAAGAAATATCTAGAAGGTATTTGAACAAGGGAAGAGTTATGAAAAGAAGAAATAGGTTTTAACTTAATATAAAGTGTTGAAATTGAAAAGATAATAAAGTAAATAGTTTGGAAAACTAATTTACTAATAGGAAAGAGTATATAGTTTATCCGAAATTGAGATATTTAAATATTATTCCTATTCCAACCAATTATCTTAGAAGTTCTTAGCATATTTAATAAATTAATAAAAAATATACAAAATTTCCAAACTCACCCTCCAATTTCATGCCGACTTCGAGGCACTTCTGGAACCTGCAGTAAGGACACCGCTTCCGCTGCGTCTTGTCAATGTGGCAGGATCGTTCCGCCACACAGGTATAGACCTTCTTATTCTGCACGGTCCGCTTGAAGAAACCCTTGCAGGACTCGCAGGTGAGCAGGCCATAGTGATAGCCACTGACCTTGTCACCGCAAACGGGGCACAGTTCCTCGAACAAATGCTTAAAGTCGATCACTTCACCGCCATGTCCTGGCGTGGCACTTGTTCCGCCCATCGAGTTACCGGGACCGCCAGAGTTGCCACCAGCTCCTCCGCCGCCGCCGCCGCCGCCTCCACCATTGCCACCGCCATTGCCCACCGAACCGGAGGACATGTGACCACCGCCGCCAGTGTTATTATTATTGCCACTGGAGCTGGCCGCTTGGGGGAGGAGCATATAGCCACCGCCGACGGATGAGCCGCCGGAGCTGCCGTTGAGGAGGTTGCCACCATTGCCACCGCCACCTCCGCCACCGCCGCCAGCACTTTGTTGGGAATGCGAGGAGGTGGTGTCCTGATAGCCTGTCGGAAATATATACTGTGAATCGAAATTGTATATATACGAGTAGGATGACGCATTGAATTGATTGGCATTGTTGGCTATATTCTGTTGTTGTTGTTGTTGATAGTGCTCCTGCTGTTGTTGTTGTTGATGTTGGTGTTGCTGCTGCTGTTGTTGTTGCTGTTGCTGGTGGTGTGCATTGTGGTGTTGTTGATTTCCACCACTGTTACTTCCCGCCAATTGCAACGTATACGCATTATATTCATGCTCGAATTTGGTCAAGACATTATCATTGTTGTTGTTATTATTGTTGTTGTTGCTGCTGCTGGTGTTGGTATTGTTGTTGTTGTTGGTATTGCCACTATTGTTGTTGTTGTTGGTGTTGCCACCCGTGGCCAAAGCTGGACTGGAGGGCTGCTGCTGCTCCAGTTGCATGCTGAACGGCGATATATTCAGCGACGATATAAACTGTACGGTCGCCTGTTGCTGATCCATTTCTAATAACATTTCATGTAAGTTTTATACCCTTGAATTCGGAAAGGTAAATTTAATTTTTAATTTATGTGTATTCCTTTTCCTTTTTTTTAAATTTTTATTTCCTGGACGGAAGCTTAAATTTTGTTTATGTTATATATAGTTTTATTTACTTTCTCTTTCGGTTTTTAGTTAAATTTGATAGTAAAATAGATCCTTGTAATCCTTGTACGGTGGTCTGGTTTTTGCACTCAATATTTGAACATTATTTTTGAATATTTGCAACATTTTAAAGAGTGCGTGTGCTTTAACAGTGCTTCTTATTAAAATGTATCATAATATCTTGACATATTTTAATAGTAAATATTGGTTTTAAATTTTGGGGTTTTTAATTTCTTTGCAAGAAATATTTTGGAATTGTTACGCGGGGTTTCTTTAGAAGAAGAAAAAATGTATTATATACAATTTTTGTTTGTTTTATATTATGAATTATTCTTTATAAGAAATGTATTTATATTAATTATTAAATTTTTAACGATTATTCCTTTGAAGAAATTGTTTTTGTTTAAGTGTTATTTGCAGGTACTTTGACGAGGTGAGTGAGATATATATTTATATGTAGAGTTGACAGGCAAAAAAGGATGATTTTTGTTGTTTATAAACTGTACTATATATATATTTATTGATTGTGTGCGTTGTTGAATTGAAACGATTGGCAAAACACTCGATTTTTGTTGTAGTATTTTATTTATTTCACTTTTTTTGCATTCGTACGTTGTGTTGTATTCTTTTTGCTTCTTTTATTTTGATTATTTTTGTTGATTGATTGAAAGTGGGTCACGGATCTAATTGCACTCTATATACACTTTTTGTGCACATATTTTATTGAATTTTCTTTCGATTTGCTTGGATTTGTGGAAAACACAAACTTTTGTTGTTGTTGTTGATGTTGTTGGTGTGGTTTGTTGTTGAAACTTTAAAACTTTAAGCATACACTCACGCAACGCAGCAAGAGAACATAATCCTGGGGCTGTTTTCTGCTGTGTGTGAGTGAGGTGTGCAGCTTTAATTTTACACGCTGGATTATATATTTATTTATATATATTTTAGCAGATATATTTGCGAATTGCAACTTTGCATTGGTTATACTTTTTATCTATGGTATTTCGCAACGGTGTTGGCTGCTGCTTTGTTTATTTTTTTGTTGTTGTTGTTGTTTCGATATCGACGATATTCGGGTCACCGCTCACACGCGCACATTTTTCTTGTTAATAATATTTCGTTAGCTGTAACTTTTTGCGTGCCCCTGTGTGTGTGTGTGTTTTGTCGGTTGCGTATATGGGTGTGTGTGAGTGTGTAAGTTATATAGACTGTGCTGTGCGAAAAACACGACCAACATCAACCACGTATCTCGATTGACTAAAACCCAAGTATAAACGTCGAGGATACCGCAATACACTATAGTGCTGCCCGCTGTCGCTGCCAGCGTCGCTGCCTTGGCTGGCAGCACTGCCTCGGTCGCAGTCGGCGTTACACTCTCGCTCTCACTCGGCAGTTTCGGGTATTACGTATACGCTCGGTGGGTCGTTCGTTTATTTGCTCACTCGTTCGCGCGCTTGTTCGTTTCACTTTCGATGGAGCTTGTGGGGCCGCTCTCTCATATTCTCTCTCTCTCTCGCAAAGGCAGCGCTGCCTGGCTTGACTTAGTGCCCCCCTTTTTTTGGGGCCTTTGTTTTTGTTGCTTTGCTGTTGAAATTCAAACTCTGACTCGAAACACAAACACACAAGCGCAAATACAAGCGCCAACTCAAAGACAAAACGGAAAGCGAAAGTGAAACCTTTTGGCATAACTTTGGGCCCACTGTAAACCACTGTGCGAGGCAACAACAGTAAGTCATTCTTTCGGAAATACAATAGTGGGCAAGAAAATAAAATCAATGCAAATCAATTGATAATAATAATGAAAACTTTAATTTTAAGTTAATTACTATTTTTTCATGTACTAAATGTACATTGTTTTGAACTCACAAAATGAGTGGTAAAACATTTCAAAATATATATAAAATATTATACATTATTTATTAATATTTTTCAGAGTACAACTTCTTTAATTTTACGATTCTTTATTTTTGTATATTAAAAACATAAATTTTATATAATTCCAAATCTCAAAAAGAGTTTTAAAACCTCTTCAAAATTAAAATATATTCTTTATTAATTTATCAATGCAAGCTATTATACTTTTATTTATTTTACTCGTTTAAGGGCATATCTTTTTCATCTATTTAAACAAAATATATATAAATAATATCAATCAAAAGCTTACAGTTTTATTATTTTCTAACATTTGTTTTTACAATAAAAAAAATTCGATTCAAAATCAAGCCAAGTTCCTAAACTTTCTTCCTCAACTGTTTGGGATGATGGCCAAAAAGCAACGGCATTATGAAAGCCTTTAAGCCTTAACTTTTCAAGTGGCTATTTTGTAATTTCTTACTCACTCAAATAAACTGGGAATTTTTCGACTCTTCTTCAGCATTTTCGGTTTTTTTATTATTACTATTTTTTTTTTTTGTTTCCTTTGATTTTATTTGGGTTTTGTTGCTGGCACTGCAGCTGCTGCTTGGTTTAGTTTCTTCGTTTTTCTTTCCGTTTTGTGTCTGTGTTTTGGTCTCAATTAGTTTTGTGGGTTTCTCATTGTTGTTTTTGCTGGTTTTGTTGCATTTGTTCATGACACGGTTTTCATGTGGCGCGTTTTCGTTTCCTATTTCTATGTTTTTTGTTATTGTTATTGTTTCGCTTATTCACGTTTTTTTCTTTTCTTATTTCTTTATTTTTTAATAAGCATTGCTTTGGGCTTTTTGCTAGTTTAATATAAAGTTATTGTGTCTTTTGGGTTTCTGGGGGTATTTTGGTTATTAAAATACAGTTATTAAGCTGTTGGGGAATTTGGTTAAGCTTATTTGTCATTCTTTTGAAATTTGCTTATTTGGTAATTTATAATTTTTTAGGTTGTTTAGTTTTATATTTTATTTAAAGAAAATTTTTATACCCTTGGAGGGCATTATAATTTCTTTTATTATTATAGTTTTATAAAAATCGAATAATAATATAAGAAAAGCGGTTGTTGAATATAGGTAATCAGTATATATCTTTCCAAAGTAGGATACCAACAGTAAGAATGCAACAGTAAGTAACTATGATCAGTAAGTATCGCTATAATTTTACTAGTATATATGTCGAGCATGACGAATCGGTGGACCATATATATACACATATATAGCTGACATAGAAACAATTGGACGATTTATAGGACTATGATTAGTAGTTAACTATGATTAGTAATTAACTATGAGCAGTAAGTAACTCTGATCAGCAAGTATTTATGACCACTAAGTAACTATGATCAGTAAGTATCAATGAACATTAAGTAACTATGATAAGTAATTAAGTAAGTAACTATGATCAGTAAGTATCTATGACCACTAAGTATGTATGATCAGTTACTAACTTTGAACACTAATAAACAATGACTTGCAACTTTTGTAACACAACACATTCCTAAGACTTGGCCGGCAGAAGTCACTTCGTTCCGGGGATGTTAGAACCAGTTGAGAATTATATGCACAGTGTGCGAGATGTGTTTTGTTTCAAAGAGCAAGCTATTTGTATGAAACTACGGATTTATTATTCTAAATAATTTTACCAGTATATAAGTCGAGGGATGGCGAATCGGTAGACTATATATATATATATATATATAGCTGCCATAGGAACAATCAGAATTTATTAAAAATTATAGGTATGTGATTCACGATTTGATAAACAATTTTATTAATGCTGGCTTTACCCCATTATTATAATTTTTATTTAATACAACAAATTGTTACAGTTAATTGTTATAGTTGTTTTATGGCTTCTTCAAACTAATTAATATATTTTTTCTTTTACAAATTCTTCTCCCTTTCCAAGCTTCCAAAAAATCAATTAGCGTTGCGTATACGTAATATTTTACGGGTAATTAACGTACCCCAAAAAAAAAAACAAAAAACAGTGAAGTTTGTCTCCCAAAAAAAGAGACTAAGAAAGCCAAAATATTAAAAACTCCGCAAAGAGTGTAACCCAAATAAGGATGCAAAAAGCCCTGCGTCGATGGAGAGCCCATTAAAAAAAAAAAGCCCAACAGAAAACCCAAAAGATTGCATAAGATTCCACCGAAAGGAGCATAAAAATACATGTGTAGTATATATACCATATAGTAAAAAAAAAAAAAAAAAAAAAAAAAAAACGTGGTCACAAAATAAACTTTCACTCCCCAGAGTACGAGTCGGAGTCCAAGTCCCAAGCCTGAGCCCCAAATCCAATTCCTTAACTAACCAAAACGGAACTACAAAGCGGAGAAACAAAACAAGGGCCCCCATCATCACCCATTAAAAAGTGTTTTAAAAAGTTATTTAGGAGAGTTCATAAATAACAAAAGTGTAGAAAATATTTAAGAAGAAAAAAAAGGCACATACTTTATAAACTTGTAGTAAAAAATACAATAATGGAGATGATCGTCTTAACAAAAGAGGATAATAAATATAGAACAATATTGAATAGAATAATAGGAAATTGAATCATATTAAAAAAAAATTTAAAAATGTTAAAAGAAATGATAATAAATGGAATAATAGGAAATTGTTAGTTAAATTAAATTAAGAATTTTTTTTTTAAAAGTTCAGGAGTGTAATTGTCTAATAAAAGGATGTACAACAATCTGAAAAATATTATTTCAATTTCAACAATCATGTTATTGAAATCCAAAAAGTTTTAGAATCAAAGCAATATTATAAACTATATTTAATATATATCAATTAAAGAAATCTCCAAAATTAATTCCAATATTCACTAAAATAAGTGCATAAAAATTCATAAAAAACAAGACCATAAAAGGAGGAACCTCAAAACCTCTCATAGGGGAAAACCCGAAATCCCCAAAAAATACGAGAAGAAAACCGCATAAAATGCAGTTAAAAAAGGCAACTTTCAACGTGATGCACGTGAAAACGTCGCCCTATCTCTCTCTCTCT